CTTTGGATTGAGTGTACTGTAATTCAATTTGATAACGTTTTATAGAAGATGGTATGTCAACTGGTGAATTAATAGCATCCTCTACGTTTGCGACAAACTGTTTTTGCTCATCGAGCTCTGTCCCAGAACCAATTATTCCTGTTCGTGTTTGCGATTGTGCACCAAGAATTGCCCATACATAAGTTCTTATTGATTCATTAACTCTTACAACTCCTGGGTTAGTAAAATTATTTTCTGTTTTATCATAAAGAAATTCATTCCAAGCGTTTGCTGTATCGTTTTGTTGCACAAAACTTGTAACAATATAAGCTAAACCATTCTTAAAGCTCATAAGATCTCCTCTCCAATTGTTACTCGAAAGTTCCCAGCCATGATAAAGATTATGCATTCTTACAAAAAGATTGTTTTTCTGTCACAACTTAAATGGATCGAATGATCATTTTTGTCCACTGTACGGACCTAGACCATGGTTAAGTCCTTTAATACGCCAATCTTTACATGTAGAAATATTAAATTCCTGACAAATACATTCATACGCAAACCTATTGTATGGATTATTTGATGTATTCCATGCTCGATCCTGTGGTAATGGGGCACTGATTTCTTTAAGTATACCGTGACCCTGTATTTTTCAAAGATATTAGGGAAATGAATGAAAAACTTAGCACCAGAGGCACTTACTAAAATTGACTGATTCGTAAGTATAGGATAAAACCTGTCCGAGGGTTGTTATGATATCTAAAACCCGCATCCCGAGGGGCTTGCCCCAAGGAATTTTCCAAAGGGAAAGGGTTTTAAATATCACTAACAACCCGAGGGGAAGTGTTTTATCTAACTTATGAACTGAAAAAAGAAACTTAAAACAACATTTATAAACATTTTTATGTTTCGAACATACTTTCCATGAACATTAGGGCGTAAAATATCTGTTGCTGGCATACGGATCTTGAAAAGGACATCCTAAAAACATTGTGATTGATCAGCGCCTCTGTAGTCTTGTGGTTGCGTGTTCGGTCCTCGGGAATATAAAGAAAATATTTGTCATTTGATTTTACATTTCATTACATGTTACAATCTGAACCGAAGTTGTATAAATAAAATAACCAGGACATTATATAAAATCCATCAGATATTATAACACATTATATAGCAAATATGACTTGCATATCCTATAAAATCCCGGGGATATTATATAAAATCCCAGGGACATTACAGCGTCACTGTTTATGAGATTTAACCCGACCAGAGAACAATAGGATGACGTCACTGGAGGTTTATAATGTAAGTTGATTTCATATTTAAGTTATGATATAGTATCTTTGTATATTTAATATATACTGTTACACTCCCAGGAATAACAAAATGGCCAGTCTATTCAACTGCTTCATGCTATCGATAACTCGGCTGGGCAACTTGAAGTCGCTCTATGTGATGTAACGTATTACCCACGGTGGACCAATATAAGTGCTGTGAGAAAAAATAATGCGGCAATACTAATTGAAAACAAAAAAATAATCAAAACCATCATTATACCTGGTGGGTATTACAGCGAATGCTCACTCTGATGAAATTTTTAAGCCTTGGGGAGCTAGTCTCACACAAAATGAGTCGAATGGGATGCTGATTTTAAACTCTGGAGAAAAGGGTGGAACTCTTCTCCCGTACTTATCAAATACACTTGGATTTTCTGGACAAAAAGAAGTAACACAACCCAACGAAACATTGCATGGAGTTAAATTACCCGATTTAGTTCCCTATAAGAGTTATGCATCCATCTTGATCAGATCAGTACAACGGAAAATATTCAACTCGAAAGTCCTTCAACTCTGCTATGAGCTATTCCAATCAAAGATGAAAAATACAAAAGTGATAGAACGGAATCTTTCTCATCATTACAATATAAAAAGTTAAAGCGGGGCATTATTTCAGATCTCAGAATTTCTGTATTAGATGTAAAACATCAACCTGTGCATATAGGATACTTGAGTGTAACACTCAATATTATAAATAATGGTTGATTCATCAGGCCCTGAAGCGCATAACCTTAGACAATGTAATACAATTACGCTTTCCGATCTTGGAGACACAGAAGGATGGCAAGTTATACGCTTTACACTTACAAGATAATGTATACAAACAGAAAGAAGTTGTATTCACAGGTAATGTAGGAGATTTAAGTGATGTCAACGTTAGTAGACTCAATAAAAACACTTCATACAATCTTACTCGCAATGATGATAATAAATGGACTATGGTCGAAGAAAAATTTGAGTGGCTACTGAATATCGTCATTTCCCCACCATATGTGATGATGGGTAAGGGACATCAATTAACTAAGATAATAGATAGTGGGATTGTACTCGGGGCTCATATCCCATCAAAATGAAAAAGTGTGTTAGTCGCTCCCCTACCAGAAAACCCAGGTCATATGTTATTGAGTCGTCCAGCATTAAAAAATGTTAGTTTAAATTTGGTTACTGAATTCAATGATATAAAACAGAACTTGAGTGCTATACCTGATCTTTCTACACTTATTATTGAAGTCTTGTTTGGGGATGCATCGGAAGATGCCTTCGAGATATTACCAGGTCTATCAATTAAATGGCTCAAGAAACACGAGCGTTAACGTTGTAGTATTATTTATATGGGAGTATCACCCGTTGGTTGCAACCCTTGAGGTTACACACAACCAAATGTTTTCCCATGGACTTCTATAGTAACGTTATATATTTTTTTTAAATAACCAAGCATTCAACAGCTATTACCTGTACCTGCACAGTTTGGCCTTAGAGCAGCAATAAAAAAATAAAAAATGACTAGCTTAGCCAGCTCCTTTTCCGAGTACAGGAAGCTAAACACACCACCCCTAGTTTCGCACCAAATGTCACCTACTTGAAAATAGCTGTGGTCACATTCAGCATAAGTCATCATGTTGAAAAAGACAGTACTAAATATAGAAAAACATGGTCAGTTTTAATAACTGGATGGATGTACATTTGAAAGACATAAAAATCTTACAGAATATCCTCCAATCACAGCCTGCCGATATTTCTCGATCTGCACTGAAGGCTCCCTACGAAAACTGCACTGTCCAAACTGGTTCTGATTTGGTGTAGTAGAACCTTGAAGGGGTCCAAATTAATAAGGGTGAAAGCATTTCTCTTACTAAGATGTTTATGCCGTGTAATATACATTTAATAAGGTTGATGTATTCTCTCAAAACATTTAAGCAAGATCAATTAAAGACTATTATATGATATAATAACATACATTATGAGTTTATATCCGGTGCTCGATGAAGCATCTGAAAAGATGGATACTGTTGATGGATTTTGATTACATCAAATAAGCGACATAAAACATCGAATAGATAAGGAGCGGGAGTTGAGACTTGGATTGTATAAAAAGTATCGCAGAGCTGTTAATGCTCTCGACGGAGTTGACACTGCGCTTGTAACAGCTGGCATGGGACTCGGTGTAGCCGGTGTTGGTTTATTATCAACTATAATCGCTGCGCCTATCGTACTTGGTATGGAAGTAGCAGCCGGAGTCTCAGGACTGGCCGGAATAGCGCTAAAATTTATTTCTCGTAAGTTGCAAAAGAAAGCATTAAAGCATGATAATATTCAGATACTCGCCGAAGCAAAGTTGAACAGCATTGAGGATCATATTTCAACAGCACTTGCTGATTGTAAGATATCAGAGGAGGAGTTTCGTTTTGTGTTGTCAGAACTAACCAAATACAATGCAATGAGCTGGAGATTCGATCCAATTCTCGTAAGACCAGTGGTATTAGCGAAGACGAGAAAAAAAAGTTCATAGAACAGGGGAGACAACAAGTGCGCCAATTATTCCGTGCCAAAACCAAAGAACTGGTTGGAGATTAAAAATAGATTGTTTCCTGTCGTTGGATCACATTTAAATGAATGCTTACATAAGTCTATAATATATAGTCTGGTCTCCTAGTAAAATGAATGAAGAACTTAGAAAAAATATCAAACTTCGCTTGTTTCTTTAGCCAATCCTTGGCCACATCTTTAGATACCTTAGCTGCAGTGGCTAATTTTTTAATTGCTCCTATACCTTTCCAATATCCTCATGGGCTGTAGTAAATTTTATCCATTATTTATTAATATTGATGTTTCTTTTAATACGAATCATGACGATCGTTGATCGCATCATCATTTTTGCATAACAAATTCCCTCTGTAGTAGCAGTATAGGTATATAAAACTGGTTCCAGTGGAAGTGGTCCAGAACTGTCATTGTCTATACTACTTGACGACATTCTCACATACGATAGTGGAAGTGGTGTCAACAAAAAATATGGTGAATTTATGTGAAATGCCTGTCTTTGTTGACATTTCCAACTTGGACTGTATGTCCATGTGAGCTGCACTGTCATGGCACTGTTCTTATCTCACCTGAATCATAGTCCTACATGAGTTTGTTTTTGTCTGTTTTGTTGGGTTGTCTGAGGACATTTTTGTCAGTTTTGGATGTAATATTCAAACAGTTTTTAGTCAGTTTTTATTTGTCAGAGGTCACACACATGCTTCTCATTATTCATGTCCACACGAATGAGGAATCTGATGAGATCAGAAAGTACCGTATTCGACGTAATAAGTGCCCACGGCAATATTTGTTAATATATTGGCTAGTGATCAATCCCAATTAGCACCCTTCCGATGGATCAATGTACACAAGACTTTTTTATTTGTGTATAATACGCACTTGTGTGTTATATGCACCCTTAATTACGGGCAATTAAATTCTTGAAAAAGATATCTGTCGTGTATAATATGCAGAGACTTTTCTTTTGTATCATTTCAGGCTGTCAGTATAAACTACGAAATTTACGATCTTTCAACTCTTTCACCACCATTATGTTCTAATAAGAGCCCCCTATTTCTAATTGTAAGAGCGCTCTGGGTGCTTATTACGTTGAATATGGTATTTCTTATTGTACCTTTAATCTGTTGACATACCTCGTAACTTTAGTTTTACAGAATGGAATTCGCAGACTTCATCAAGATCCCAATGGTTGATGGTGTGATAATGAGGAGACCATTTGAGGGCTCTGTGGAGGGCACACTATGTGTTACAGGCCATCATCTTATTTTGTCTTCTCGCAAAGACCAACGAGAAGAACTTTGGGTAGGTTTTAGATAGAAAGTAAATGTCATTGGGTGATTATCTCAACTGCATGGCATGAAAAGCTGATTGTGTTGCATCATGCATCCATCATCACTCGATCATCCATTAAAGTAGGGACCAGTCATTTATTACAGGAGGTGGGGGTGTCCAAGGTTTTTGATGCACTAATGTAATGAAAATATGGATCTTCCCCTAATGCTTGTCATACTTTTCAATGACCCTCCACATGTATATTTTATTCATGATCCTTCCCATGTGTATTACTTTTTATGTACCCCGGTTGACACCAAGTGTCGTGTAAACTGGTTCTTGTAGGGAAATGGCCTGGTAGTGTGTTAGCTGATGACTGTATGTACATCTGGTCAAGGTTACTGTTTTTCTTTCTAACAAGACAATTATTAATGTTCCGAAAAATAATCTCACCACAACATTGTGTTTCTATGTTTCCAGCTTCTTCACAGTGCTGTTGACAGTATTGAGAAGAAACTTAGTGGTTCTGGTGGAAGTCTCTACCTCAGATGTAAAGACTTTGGTGTTGTACAGCTCGACATTCCAACTGCAGATGACTGCATAAGTGTATCCAGCTCAGTAGAGCAACTCTCAAACATAGGTAATTTCTCATGTGAATATTGACTCAATACTCATCCTCTATTTCTCCAGACCAATCAAACATTGAGATGAGGAAAAGGAAATGGGTAAGGGACTTGCCACTGCTAGTTTTTATGGCCATGAAGACATCCTTTCCATCAAAAGATTTTTGAGGATTTTGTTTTGTGTGTCAGTCAATCTTTCAATGGCAAATTGTTTGCAAACTATCATAATGAACATGTTGATATTGCCAACTTCACATTGAGGCTGGTTTGTCACTGGCATTCTGATGAGTCCATTAGACTGAGTAGCGCAGCAAATCGACTTGGCTATTGAAAATCAAGCGCGGGGAATTTAAGATTGCGAGAACCATGGGAATGGATCCAGGAGTAGTATAGGCGATGGGGGTGTTGGGGCACCCCACCCTGGACTAGGTCCAGAGCCTGATAATGCTTCCATGGAGGCCTTAAGTTTTATGTGATGATGATCATTTGATCTAACCTTATCTGAATAGTTAATTGCAGGAACATCAAAATTAATTAATAATGGATAAAATTTACCATAGCCCGCAAGGATATTGGAAAGGTAAAGGGTCAATACAGAAAGTAGCTGCAGCGGCTAAGGTATCTAAAGATGTGGCCAAGGATTGGTTAAGGAAACAAGCAATATGGCAAATATACTTACGGGCCCCACGATATATACCAAGGAAAAAGTTTTGATATTTCCATAACTAATGAAGTTCATCAGTCTGACACCTTGTTTCTTCCACACGATAAGGAAAGAGCGTGGCAGAGGGAAACCTCAAGGCACTTATCAGTCCCGGCGTGGTAAATACCACAGTAGGGGAGGTGATAAGAGGGGTAAACACTGAGATGTTGGACAGTCACGACAGTCCCGCCCCCAGCCGTCCAAATTGTCGATATCCCCGTAGACTGGAGACTGAATTGATTTTTGAAGAACTGTCGCTTCCTCAAGTACGATTATGTTCTCAACATACTACTAGATGTAGAGGTTCTTCTACCATTGACCACGGCTCCACTTCCTTGGTATTATCCAGGAAAGCAACACCTGCTATTAACCCTTTCGCCCCGACTGCCCGATTTATCGGGCAGCATAAACCGTGTCCCAGTACCCAGCTGCCCGAAAAATCGGGCGGCTACTGTCCAAGCCCCACACACGGCTGCCCGATAAATCTGGCGGCACGACCGTGTTTACAAAATCTTCTATACCAACAAAGTTGAGTCCATCGTTTTGGGGATAGCTCGAAGATCTATCCGGATGTTTTTTCTATGGGGAACAATGCAGATCTTATCATCATTCTTAAACACAGTCATCGCCTTTATTTTTTACATTAATTATGGCTTTTTCCTTTTTATAATACGAGGGTAGATCTATATAAGATCCACCTTTGAAAGGCATATAATTTGCTATATCTAAATATAAACTATCCATTTTATCCACAACCCAACCCGAACCTCTGTTAGTCCAGCGTTCTAAAGTTTCCTGTATCCTCTGAATTGATGTATCTAATGATGCACTTATAGTATCCGATTCTGTTATAACTTCTTGATTGCTCAGGAAATAAGGTTCGGTATATTCAGTGCTATCGTCTGCATTACTTTTACTCAATGACATTTTAACCGTCAGCTGGTATTTTATACTATTTAAATCCTCGTTAATTTTGCTGGATATGATGGGTTTAACATCATTAACATCCATGTTGGAATTAATATCCATCTTCCAACCTCTTAGATATTTACCAACGCCAGCTGTGGGTACAAATTTTAACTCATTATTATCAACAACAGTGGGTTTATCAACACTGATTTATTATTATCTAGTAAAGCGATCAATTCAGCTTTTCTCATTCGAGAATAACCTCCCAGCCCACTTTTTTTTTCGCTTTAGCTTTGAGTTCTCTAACAGTCTGGGGTTTGTTGTATTCCAAACCGAGTAAATCATTCAATTCAGCTTTTCTCATTCGAGAATATCCATGTAGACCACGTTATTTTGCCAAAGCCTTCAACTCTCTGACAAAAACCATTGTGATTTAATGGTATATACAAAATGAGTCAAATGTCTAAATGGTTATATTTCCATATCTAAATACGTAATCTCCCCAACCTATTCCTCTCGTTGATGTAATCTCTCTTCCTAGCGTAAATAATCTGCTTCCTGACCCTATCAGCGCCGTGTTTCTTACATAAACAATAACGAGCTTTGACCCCAATCCCACATACAGAACAAACTTAATTTTTATATTCTTGTGTGATGTAATAAGAATGGGTACCACAGTAAACACCCACACACCGTCGGTTACATTGAATTGGTTTCCCCATGAGTGTATATATGCACAGATTCATGGTTATACACCTATCATATCTTTTGTCTAAAAGGCAAATCGGATCTCCACTGGTGAGTCATAGTTGTCATCGCTATTCATAGATTAGCTGAAAATAGACAACAGTCAGCCAGTCAGCTCGATATAGCTGAACAGCCAGTCAGTGCTATTTATAGCTGAGTACCGTATATCGCTGTGTATAAGGCGAGTTTTTCGTACCTAGAATGAGGGGGTTAAGAAGGGGTGTCGTCTTATACACGGAGTCGAAGATCTCACGTTTTTTTCCAGGCGTTTTACTTTCAGCTTCCACTGGCAATGTCAACCGGCGTTCCATAGCCAGCCCAGCATTTGACAATAATACTTCGCATTTCGTCCTAAATAACTGTTCCAATAACTATTTCCATACATAAACATGATTTGTATCTGTTTTCCTTGAATAAGGTTTAATAATTTCTGCAAATAAAGTTGAAATTACCCTCGCCTCGATCCAGCTGACACGGAAAAACAATCAACATCCGTGAGTAGAGAGCCGGAAGTACTGGTAAGCATTTGCATATTGCACATGTGACCTAACATGTGACAACCAGTGAAGCTGAAATCAATTCTCGTTGTTTTTACAGTTGTATTAACAACTGTTGGAGACGTGTGTATAAGTGATTGTGGAATAAACATGCTGAGTGTGAAGCAAACATAAGCCTAGTTAGTTACAACATAGTTTATTGGCGATTAAATTACTCACCATTGTCTCTTATGTTATTACCTCATAAATTAATTTTATTTTACAAGCACCACTTTGGTGTCGTACCGTGTAAACACAAAATGGCCACGTGTGCTGGAGTTACGCACGTGACCAATCATCTTAGAAGAAACCCTGCAAGATAAACATATTTTTATTGCAAATATAAGGTTTGTGTGTGCACTTATACACGGAATCTTACAACGCAGCAAATAAAATAACTCAAATATTCCACGTCACAGTAATCAAACAAACACCTAATTGGCAACAATATACACGAGGCGTAATTAGGGTTAACCCAAGGGAAACAACTGAGGATTTACAATTATACTCTCTAGAAGCTAACATAAATCAAGACCAAAACCCTCAACCACTAATCACCAGCACGCGTAGAATAACCTCAACTAGAAACGGAAAAACGGTCCCAACCTCCATTGTCATAATCAACTTCAAAAAGACTGCTAAATTCCCTGAAGCCCCCAAACACATATCCTTCAGGGCCCACACCAACTTAGAAGTCAAACCCTATATAAAGCAGGTTAAGCAATGTTCAAAGTGCCTCAAATACAACCACACTGCCTCCCAATGCACATACCGTAAAACTAAATGTAAAAAATGCGCACAAACAGACTGCCCAGGCACATGCACACCCTGGTGCATCCACTGCAAATCCACCCAACACACTTCACTTTCAAACCAATGCCCATACAGACACACACTCACCCAGCAGGCCAACAAACACATAAACAAAGACACAGCTAAAATCCAAACGCGAAAATTTGCTACACCTGCATCTAAACCACTCCTACCTACACCACACCCAAACACCATCCCACAAAGAAACACCACACCCTTAACCGACAGCTCTGTCTGGGGCCCCTACCGAGAAACCGCACTCACCTCACACACACAAGCAGCCGCTCAACCAACCACGAACCCTCCCACATCTCACATAGCCAAAACATCAACCCCCGCATGCAAAACAAACCTCAAAATGACCACCACAACACGACCCTCATCCAAGCACCCTACAGCCCATATGGCAACAACACTCTCCCACAAGCAAGCACAACAACAAAACACAAACACTAAGAAATCATCAGCTACACCCATCCCGCAAACACCTTCACAATCCTCCACATCACATGCCTCCCCCATGGAAACTCAATCAGCTAAACCTAATCTAACCGATGACGAAGATTTCTCCACTACTGAGGAAACAATAGACACTACTCCAACTAAAACAAACCAAACTCCCCAACCAGCCAATACCCAAAACCTAAATAACCTCACCTTACTCCTAGCATACATGCATAGTCAAAACTCACCAAAAGCTAGCATGAAATCCTTCCACAAAGTAGCTTTCAATCTAAAATTAACCGATCTTCCCTTCTTCCTCTTTAACCTCCATCTAAAAGAACTCACCGAATAAAATAAAAACTAAAAACTAAATCACCAATCACCCGAACCCAATAATGTAAGGACTACCCCAGAACACAAATCTTCCTGCCCGGGTCATGGACTACCCCAGGACACAAATGTTCCTGCCCGGGTCATGGACTACCCCAGGACACAAATCTTCCTGTCCGGGTCATGGACTACCCCAGGACACAAATGTTCCTGCCCGGGTCATGGACTACCCCAGGACACAAATGTTCCTGCCTGGGTCATGGACTACCCCAGGACACAAATCTTCCTGTCCGGGTCATGGACTACCCCAGGACACAAATGTTCCTGCCCGGGTCATGGACTACCCCAGGACACAAATTTTCCTGCCCGGGTCATGGACTACCCCAGGACACAAATGTTCCTGCCTGGGTCATGGACTACCCCAGGACACAAATGTTCCTTCCTGGGTCATGGACTACCCCAGGACACAAATGTTCCTGCCTGGGTCATGGACTACCCCAGGACACAAATGTTCCTGCCTGGGTCATGGACTACCCCAGGACACAAATCTTCCTGTCCGGGTCATGGACTACCCCAGGACACAAATCTTCCTGCCCGGGTCATGGACTACCCCAGGACACAAATGTTCCTGTCCGGGTCATGGACTACCCCAGGACACAAATGATCCTGCCCGGGTCATGGACTACCCCAGGACACAAATGTTCCTTCCTGGGTCATGGACTACCCCAGGACACAAATGTTCCTGCCTGGGTCATGGACTTCCCCAGGACACAAATGTTCCTGTCTGGGTCATGGACTACCCCAGGACACAAATGTTCCTGTCCGGGTCATGGACTACCCCAGGACACAAATGTTCCTGCCCGGGTCATGGACTACCCCAGGACACAAATGTTCCTGCCCGGGTCATGGACTACCCCAGGACACAAATGTTCCTTCCTGGGTCATGGACTACCCCAGGACACAAATGTTCCTGCCTGGGTCATGGACTACCCCAGGACACAAATGTTCCTGCCTGGGTCATGGACTACCCCAGGACACAAATGTTCCTGTCTGGGTCATGGACTACCCCAGGACACAAATGTTCCTGCCTGGGTCATGGACTTCCCCAGGACACAAATGTTCCTTCCTGGGTCATGGACTACCCCAGGACACAAATGTTCCTTCCTGGGTCATGGACTACCCCAGGACACAAATGTTCCTGCCTGGGTCATGGACTACCCCAGGACACAAATGTTCCTGCCTGGGTCATGGACTACCCCAGGACACAAATCTTCCTGTCCGGGTCATGGACTACCCCAGGACACAAATCTTCCTGCCCGGGTCATGGACTACCCCAGGACACAAATGTTCCTGTCCGGGTCATGGACTACCCCAGGACACAAATGATCCTGCCCGGGTCATGGACTACCCCAGGACACAAATGTTCCTTCCTGGGTCATGGACTACCCCAGGACACAAATGTTCCTGCCTGGGTCATGGACTTCCCCAGGACACAAATGTTCCTGTCTGGGTCATGGACTACCCCAGGACACAAATGTTCCTGTCCGGGTCATGGACTACCCCAGGACACAAATGTTCCTGCCCGGGTCATGGACTACCCCAGGACACAAATGTTCCTGCCCGGGTCATGGACTACCCCAGGACACAAATGTTCCTTCCTGGGTCATGGACTACCCCAGGACACAAATGTTCCTGCCTGGGTCATGGACTACCCCAGGACACAAATGTTCCTGCCTGGGTCATGGACTACCCCAGGACACAAATGTTCCTGTCTGGGTCATGGACTACCCCAGGACACAAATGTTCCTGCCTGGGTCATGGACTTCCCCAGGACACAAATGTTCCTTCCTGGGTCATGGACTACCCCAGGACACAAATGTTCCTTCCTGGGTCATGGACTACCCCAGGACACAAATGTTCCTGCCTGGGTCATGGACTACCCCAGGACACAAATGTTCCTGTCTGGGTCATGGACTACCCCAGGACACAAATGTTCCTGCCTGGGTCATGGACTTCCCCAGGACACAAATGTTCCTGTCCGCGTCATGGACTACCCCAGGACACAAATGTTCCTGTCTGGGTCATGGACTACCCCAGGACACAAATGTTCCTGCCTGGGTCATGGACTACCCCAGGACACAAATGTTCCTGTCTGGGTCATGGACTACCCCAGGACACAAATGTTCCTGTCTGGGTCATGGACTACCCCAGGACACAAATGTTCCTGCCTGGGTCATGGACTACCCCAGGACACAAATGTTCCTGTCCGGGTCATGGACTACCCCAGGACACAAATGTTCCTGTCTGGGTCATGGACTACCCCAGGACACAAATGTTCCTGCCTGGGTCATGGACTACCCCAGGACACAAATGTTCCTGCCTGGGTCATGGACTACCCCAGGACACAAATGTTCCTGTCTGGGTCAGCATGTCAACAAGAGACCAATCATTATCGAACTGAGTCGGCCCCCATTTTACATGCCAAATCTTTTGTAATTAATGTTCAATTCATATTTAAGTGTTGTGTTGTTGATGCTTAAATATAAGATATAACAAAATCAGTTGCTTTCTATCTTCGGCAATGGACAAAAACAAGTCTGCTTTGGTAAATTAAAACTTTATTTCATCATAATAATTTATTTAACATATTATTGATGTCACTATTTAGACATAGACAACAATTCTGATTATCAATCTACAGACGATGAAATTACATTTTAAGCAGGACAGCGGCTAGAAAGAAAAGATTGCCAAGGTTCACAGGCACCATGGTGTCATCTCCCAGGACAGATGTTGGCCCGAGTGAGGACCTGGCACTCCTTCCTCCCATGTCTACCATTGTGGCATAACAAATATCATGATCAGACAGTTCTGTCATGAATAACCTACCAACAGAATGGTACAGATATCAATATATCCACAGTGATTTTTCTTATCTTGCAGATGACATGACGCTGAAATACCCTTTCTTCTATCGAGCTAGCTTTGAAGTGATGGAGGATGGGTGGCAAGCATTTCTACCTGAAACAGAGTTTGGCCGTTCTAAGGAATGTTCAGATGAATGGAGACTTAGTTATGTCAACAAAGACTTTCAGGTATGTTTTGTGATTTCTTAAGCAAAAGGATTTCTCCATTCTTAGCTCACCTGGCCTGAAAGACCATTTCACAAGTCGTCCTTATACTAATACATGATTTGAGGCCGTAGCAGTATTTGCCAAGCCACAGCTGACTATCTCAATCTATCCTTCCTTTTGAGCAAGCCTAAAGGAGGAAATACACTATAGTATTCCCCAGTCCTCTCTGATGCCAAATGTTGACAAAGTCTTGTGTGACATAGTAAGATCGAAATACATGATTGTGCCAGATGTGTTGAAGACATTTTACCAAGTACCACTTGCTCAGATAGCCATGAAATACTTCTTTGTCGTGACTCCTTTAAAGGATGTACGTCTATGGTTATCATTAAAGAACAGAACATTCTTGTGAACTATGACCCTGTTTGCTTAATCTGTGGATTGGGCATGCTTCACTGCCTAATCCCACAGAAAAACAACAATTTTCTTTGAGGAATAGAGAAGTTTTTAATGTGTTTGAGAACATTAGATACACATTGATGTAGCAGAGTGAAAGTGCACCAAGGAATTTTACATTGTTTTGTAAAATTGCAGTGAAAAGTATAAAAGATGTTGTTTTGGTGGTAGAGTGTTTCAGTTATTTCATGGATTTGTTGTAACGTTAATTATGATGACAATCAAGTCTATTCTTCAGTACTTATCAGTTGTATGGTATTTCAGTCAATAGGTGTTCCTGCATAACTAGACAGTACTGGAAGTGGTCAAGGTTACAGTAAATGTATCTGTAGTGGCCAGTGTTCCTGCATAACTAGACAGTACTGGCAGTGGTCAAGGTTACAGTAAATGTATCTGTAGAAGCCAGTGTTCCTGCATAAATAGACAGTACTGGCAGAAGTCAAGGTTGCAGTAAATGTATCTGTAGTGGCCAGTGTTCCTGCATAACTAGACAGTACTGGTAGTGGTCAAGGTTACAGTAAATGTATCTGTAGTGGCCAGTGTTCCTGCATAACTAGACAGTACTGGAAGTGGTCAAGGTTACAGTAAATGTATCTGTAGTGGCCAGTGTTCCTGCATAACTAGACAGTACTGGCAGTGGTCAAGGTAACAGTAAATGTATCTGTAGTGGCCAGTGTTCCTGCATAACTAGACAGTACAGGCAGAAGTCAAGGTTGCAGTAAATGTATCTGTACTGGCCAGTGTTCCTGCATAACTAGACAGTACTGGCAGTGGTCAAGGTTACAGTAAATGTATCTGTAGTGGCCAGTGTTCCTGCATAACTAGACAGTACTGGCAGTGGTCAAGGTTACAGTAAATGTATCTTGTAGTGGCCAGTGTTCCTTCATAACTAGACAGTACTGGCAGAAGTCAAGGTTACAGTAAATGTATCTGTAGTAGCCAGTGTTCCTTCATAACTAGACAGTACTGGCAGAAGTCAAGGTTACAGTAAATGTATCTGCAGTGGCCAGTGTTCCTGCATAACTAGACAGTACTTGCAGTGGTCAAGGTTACAGTAAATGTATCTGTAGTGGCCAGTGTTCCTGCATAACTAGACAGTACTGGCAGAAGTCAAGGTTACAGTAAATGTATCTTGTAGTGGCCAGTGGTCCTTCATAACTAGACAGTACTGGCAGAAGTCAAGGTTACAGTAAATGTATCTGTAGTGGCCAGTGTTCCTTCACAACTAGACAGTACTGGCAGAAGTCAAGGTTACAGTAAATGTATCTTGTAGTGGCCAGTGGTCCTTCATAACTAGACAGTACTGGCAGAAGTCAAGGTTACAGTAAATGTATCTGTAGTAGCCAGTGTTCCTTCATAACTAGACAGTACTGGCAGAAGTCAAGGTTACAGTAAATGTATCTGCAGTGGCCAGTGTTCCTTCATAACTAGACAGTACTGGCAGAAGTCAAGGTTACAGTAAATGTATCTTGTAGTGGCCAGTGTTCCTTCATAACTAGACAGTACTGGCAGAAGTCAAGGTTACAGTAAATGTATCTGTAGTGGCCAGTGTTCCTTCACAACTAGACAGTACTGGCATAAGTCAAGGTTACAGTAAATGTATCTGTACTGGCCACCCAGATAGCAGTCAGACGTTGGGTTAACATTGGGCCAACATTATCACTTACATTGGACAAGCGTTGGCTATCAACGTTGGCCCAATGTCATTTTGACCGCCGACCCAACGTTGGGTCAACGTTAGCTGCATGAACATTGTTGGGCCAACATTTCTTTGCCAATGTTGTAACAATGTTAACCCAGCAATATTTAGCCAACGTTGGCCAAACTTAGGGTCGCCAGTCAAAATAACGTTGGCCATACGTTAGATTATGCCTGTTTTATTCCTGACTACCTCCCAGGCAGCCTGTAATGTTTGTACCAATGTAGTTAAGACATCAGGTAACAAGCAATAGATTCTGCAAGCTGAATTCACTCTGAACTCTATCCATGAAAGAGCATGTCAATGAAATGCGCTCTCTTCTGGCAGGGTACCTCGGCATATATAGTTTGAAATATGGCCAAGAAAAAATCATATTTTTTTAATTACGTGTACAATTTGGTGATATAATATTTACTTTCCAAAACAATTTTCAAGACTATGTGCAAATGGTTCACAAATATTTCAACACTATTAAACGATATATGATTTTCCCACGAGTTTTCAAATAAAAACTATCAGACAATAAGCCCGGCAAAAATTGAAACATTTAATTTTTCTTGGCCTTACCCCATACATTCAGCATTGAAAGCAACACTGAGACAAGCAAAATAGTTCATGCATCAGATGTCCTATGATCCATTTCCTTGATCCATTAAAAAATATGATGACAGCAACAAAATGACAATAGAATTCTGGTTTAGGTGAACTTGGGCTGAGTGTTTGAGGAGCCTTTTGAGTCCTTAAATGAAGAGTCAGAAGAACTTATCACAGGGATGATCTTCAACTGTATCCATGGTCTCTCCTTGTGCCTTGGTAACAGAATAAAACAATGACACAAATATAATAAAATGACAAGGAAAGGGACCTATTTCTGGCATAAGAAAATGGTTGCCTTCCCCCAAATAATAATTTGATGTCTGAAAAAAAGTCTCAGCAGCGCTACCTCCACCCGTCCAAGTCATTAAACTGTTAAAACTGCTAAAACTGGGAAGGTGGCATGGACTGCAATACCATGATGCTCTTTGATCATACATAGGCAGACAAGCTATTAACACTGAAATGAACAAGGGTTACCTCAACTCATTCATTTTTCAAAGTTCAAAACATAAAAAAACATAATTTTCTCAGAAAATACACTTATCAAAATCAAACTTTCCACTGCACTTCTCCTATGGGCATAGAAACTACTCCAAATTGGAAAAGAATCCATGTATTGTTTTCAAGTTATAGGTCACACAAATGTTGAAAACATAAATCTTCATTCAAAACATGAAAGAAATCATATGTTTGCCGAAAATACACATATCAAAATTAAAATTTGCACTGCACCTCTTCTATTAGTATAGAAAGTGTTTCCAAAAAAGTTCTGGGTAGAATGTCTCAGGCAGGCAGTCAGCCAGAGTATCGTACACACACCAGCATGGTGTTAAACCAAAGCCCCCGACTGCACCATGCCCACTGTACCAAATTTATTGAAATAAGATAACAGCAATAAGAAAAATACATGTATAAACTTGATAAGACTATGTGCATTGTTTTATATCCAGGGATTAAGATTACCTTGTGCATTTTCTCCTAAACTAAGCCGGACACAGCAATCAGCTGTACACACGTTTTCTTGGAATCTACCGGTGATTTGGTCAAGACACACCCAATGATATAACTTTACAGTATTTTAAATGCAAGGATCGGCAAAAGTTGTATCTGAACCTATTTTTTTATCAGGAATAATATATTCCAATATCTTGTTAATTTAGATGCAGCTTTTACTAAACATATTTAAAATAATAATAACCCTAAGCGAAGCAGCTGATCGCTATTGCCGGGTATTATTTTTTACATGGAACCAGTCTGACCAGTCACCGTCAAGGCTCCCGTGCAAGTGATCGCATGATCGCGAGAATTACATGTTGACACAGAATCGTCCAACAAAAACAAATCTGACTTTTAACGAATCAAAGTATGGCATTTATGATATATGTATCCATTCTCTGTCAACTAAAGTTCGTTTCAAGGCGTCAATAGCGGTAATCTGACCGTGGTTGCTGTTAATAACGGTGAGTTGTGCGATCTTCTGATTGCTTCACACACGATTTCGCCGAAATTAATTAAAACAATATTAAAAGGAATTTTGAATAAAATTAATGAAATAAGTTACAAACAAAAGTCCAGATATACAAAAAACACTTTTTATAGCCAGACAGTGTAATTACATGAATAAGTTGCAAACTTCAGTATGGATTTGTTGACATGGTATTTCCGGTGTTATGTGCTCACAGTAATGTCTTTCCATGGGGGAAAAAACATCAAAACTCATTAATTCGTGTATAATGCGCACCCCCTTCTACAGAGCTGTGTTTTTTGGAAAAAAAGTGCGCACTATTCTCAAGAAAATACGGTAAGGCTTACTGATGAATTTATGCCAATTTGACTCTGAATTGGTCCCAATAAGCGCCCACCCCTTCTGTCTATTTTTAAGCCCCCTGGGCGCTTAATGGGTCGAATACGGTAATGCTAAATCATGTGTTGTCCTGTATCTCAACACATCTGCAACATGAAATGTGTGAAAGGTCAAGTGCAACCTTAGGTGTCGGGTACTGTACCCTTCTACCTTTGGTCACTCTCTCTGGTTAACCACTCTTTGGTCCTTGGGATGATGTAGCTCTCAAATCACAAGTCAACTTGGGTGCTCCAGTCCATTTATTGAAGACAGAAGTTATAGCAAATATACACAAGGTCCTCAGTTACCTTCTTGTGGCCTGTCTTACTTAAACACAACACATACCTAGGTGATGTATGAAGAGCCTGATAGCTTTTCTGATCAACGACTAACTTTACCACTTTTCTGACCCGGAATTCCAATCTA